GTTCGATTACAACAAATTCGAAAGAATAATCTTTTTATAAGACTTTTTCTACACAACAAAACAAAAATTACAACTCTTGAGAAACAAACACGAAAATCGTCTATCAATTTTCGTTTTCGTGGGACTTTGCCTGTGCCGGGAACGCTTTGGTTCGTGGACCGCCGATTCACAGATCGTGAAGAGGGGGCTTATGATTCTAACTTCGTTATCGAAGTAGAAATTGAAACGATATCTTATCGAAGTAAGATAGTCGTTCTTCTTAAAATCTGCTCTCTCTCTGCTCTGGAATACTCTAATAAATGCTCGATCCTCGTCAGAAGTGACCCTAGGGGGGTATTTATAGCCTCAAGGGTCAGTAACTGCAAAAACTTAACAATCGAAGAAGTCAGTACGGCGAGACAGTGTTTACTGTCTGGCTGGGCGAGACAACGTTTGCTGTCTCGACCCGCGAGACAGTAAATTTGCTGTCTCGCTCAGCGAGACAGTAAATGCTGTCTCGGAAAATGGCAGTTTCTCGCTGTAACTGTTCTCCCACGTTTCAAACTCCGTTATTTTGGCAGTTATCCACGTGATTTTCGCCCACGATGTTTCCCACGTCCCTTGGCAGTTAATGGACACGTGTAGGGCAGTTACAAATGTAGTTTTGACTATTTCAACACTATCTCGTTGGTGAGACAGCAAAGACTGTCTCGCTGGCGAGACAGCAAAGACTATCTCGCTGGGGAGACAGCAAAGCCTGTCTCGCTGGCGAGACAGTTCATACTTGTTTTGATTTTTTCCAAAACAGTATGAAATCCTTTCTTGTGAATTTTTGAGTGATCTTCTCTATGCTTGGAATATCTATTAGCATTTTTTGACGCCTACAGATACCCCCTCCAAAGTATTCCAGACTCATTCTTTTATAGAGGAGCATGGGATACTTTGGATAAGATAGATTTTACTTACGATCCCTTCAATGCTTGGCTGAATAGATCGTATGAAAGGACTTGTAAATGGCTTCAATGTTTAACCTCTTCTGCTGTTAGTCTATCCAGTTCTTCGTAGAATAGCTAACGTTCTCCCGGCGTCGCGTTTATCGCTTGACCGTTGTCGAGATCTTGAATTGAAGTTGATACTTGCTCTTGTGAATTCAGCGTTTACCATTGAATTGGTATATCCATTGAGAATTCCTCAGGTTATCCTTAAGAATATTCAGATTAATATTCTCCAGAAACTTCCTGTTGAGGGTGGGAATACAGTTTAGACTCGTGTACCCATTGGAGTATTCCACTGTTCCATAGTGCAAAACAGAAAAGTTTACTGTCTCGCTCGGCGAGACAGAGTTTTCTGTCTCGCTGGGCGAGACAGTGTTTTCTGTCTCGCTCAGCGAGACAGAGTTTTCTATCTGGCTCAGCGAGACAGAGTTTTCTGTCTCGCTCGGCGAGACAGAGTTTTCTGTCTCGCTCAGCGAGGCAGAGGCTATAAAAGTCGGGACTTAGGGTTTTAGGGTTTTTTCACGTCGGATTTTGGCGATTTTTTGAGCGATTCTTGGGCGATTTTCGAGCGATTTTCGACCAGTTTTTCACCTCTTCTTCTCCTATTCGTTTCTGATTTGGGTTGGGCTTTGTTTGGGGAGATTTCACTTGGATTTGGTAAGTTTGATTTCCCTCTTTTCTTCAAAACCTTGATTTTCTTCAACTGGGACTGTGCATGCATTGTTTCGGCCATACTCTGTGACATTTTGGTCGATTTCATATTTAAAATCTTGACTTTTTTCAATGGGTCTCCTTGTAGATCATTTGCTCATTATGTCGCCGCGTAGAACTCGAGGAAAGGGAATCCGACCGACTGTTCAGAGCCCTGAGGAGGCTGCCCCTGCTGCACCCTCACGTGGAGGTATATTTCTTTCACCTTTTCACGAATTTAAATACTGTATTTCGTCAATTCCATATGTATGTTCCTATATTTGCTTGCAGATCCTCGTTTGTATCCTTTGAGGTACCTTCGAGAAGAGCCGGTATCCTCCTTTGAGGGGATCGACGCTTAAAAGTGTTTGTTTTGCTTTGACAAAACACACTTCATAATACACAGGGGCGATTTTATATCATCCCATATGTATTGAAAGGTTTTGGTATGCCGTTATAATGCCCGTATATCTCCTTTATACATATGGTGGATAGAAAATCGTCACACCTGTTATGATATAACGACTATATCTTATAGAGTGAGATATACCGTTTTTTCTCTAAAATTTTAGGATGACACTTACACAATTTATGTGTATGCCTCTTTTATCAGTCCGATTCCCTTCCTCCATCTTTAATGCTGATGCGGTTACGGGTCAGAGTAGCGTGACCCATTCTTATTATGAGGGAATTCCGTTAATTGCATCATCTCCCCAGTTTAAATCTGATTATAGCGAAAATGATAGAGAATTAATCCAGCGAGGTAGTTGTCGTGTTCTACGACGATTAATCACAGATGCGCCCTTGATCTCGGAGCAAGACTCGAATCAATGCATAAGGAAGCCAGATTTCTTATTTGGTGACTCGGTAAAAGATCCGAAGATTGCTTTCTGCCAGCCTGCGCAATGGTTGCACCAGAGTGGATCATCATTCTTATATCTGCCTTTTATCCCTCGGGATCATTCACTGTTAATGTTCAGGAACCTATCAGTTGGACGAGAGATGTTCTGGAAAACCACGAGCGTATTCATTGTGGTTTCATTGGGAAGGAAGCCACCCCAGGTTCCAGTGAAAGAGCTCATGTGCGGGGACTTCATCCGGGTGTCTTAGGACAAGACAACATACCTCAGAATGAGAAGATAGTGCAAGCCAACACCGTGAAGAGCCGGTTAGCGGCAGCGGGAAAAAGATTACCCAAAGAGACTTTTAGATGCCATGGATGGGTCCATTATTCTGGGGAAAAATGGTGGTGGACCAGGATGACCCGATATGTGCTAAACCGTTTTGGGCGAGAGTTAGCAAAATTAGGGTTGGATGTTCCGATCCGTGCCAGCATGCATGGCCTGCAGAGTAGTGTAGGTCATTTCCTCTGTTTGTTCGAGATTTATAACCCGGACACTAATACATTCTTTACCAAGAACGGGGAACTCGGACTACCACTGCATGAAATGATGCAGGTGTCTGGTTTGCCTATGGGCGATATTCCCTATCAAGAGTTCTTTCCAACCAGTAATCAGCTGAACAAGATGAAAGATAGCTCAACTGTGACTCATGATACTTTATGGGAATTGACTTGCCATTATCATATAGCCATGGCCGAGATGGAGCCCAAAGCAAGAAAGAAAATTCCTCAGGTCAGCTTGAAACAATTCGCCGATTATCTCTTCAAGAATCTGGATGACCGTTCGGCAAATGTGTGCGGATTGTCTCCTTTGAGTGCTGATGAAATCAATCGCCTGTTAGGGAAAACCAACGCGCAATCTTATACCTCGCGCTCAGAAGATGGATTTTTACACGGCACTAAGTTCCGCTCTTATCTGTGGCAAGCTGGTGTTCCGATTAGCTCTACTGCTCTGCTGGCGGGTTTTTTAGCTTTATGGTTAAAGAGATGTGTAGTTCCCCATCAATCTGCAGATGCGATGCCAATGGAAGTGTTGTATCCGGCCGTCCAGCTGGCTACAGGTCGTAAATTATCTTTGCTTCCCGCTATGGTGGCCGATATTCATAGTGGATTACGGCAATTAATCTCCGTGTTTACTCAGGAGAAAAAGAAACCCTCTACCAGTCTGTCTGTTCCGAAGCTGGAGCTACCTTATACTTATCTGATGACCTGGTTAGTACTTCATCGACCAGATTTAATGGAAGCTCCTGAGACGGCAAATTCTAGCATTCCTTTGTTGCAGAGTCTCGAGAATTGCAAATGGATCAGGCATCGAGAACTCGACATAACGAGGCAGTTTAAAATTTACAAGTGTTGGGAATTCTTCCCCTGCTTCCCTCAATTCTCCGGTACCTACAATACTACTTTAGTAGATGCTGAAGACCCAAGGCAGAATCGCACTATCTTGGATGTCGGGTGCTTCAGATGGTTGATGAATATTCGACCTGGATATCTGTTGTTCAGGATAAGGGATGTTTGCCACATCGAACCCTATCTTCCATGTCGATTCGCCCGTCAGTTCGGGTATGATCAGATATACATCGGCAACCCGAATCGTCACCTCAGCTTTCGAGGTGGACTTATCGACGGGGCGAGAGCTTGGTTTTGGAGCATTGCCGGCTGCACCAATGTTGAATTTGATCTCCCCTTAGAGACGCCGCCTCTACGGATGACTTTCCTCTTTTGCAAATGGCTGATAGCCACCAATATTGCCACTCGACGTAGGAGGATATCAGACTCAGAGGAGGAAATAGCTCCACGGCAAGCAACAGAACCGCCTCGCGAAGCTGTGATGTCGCCTCGAGGAAAAGAGGCTGCTGAATCATCAAGGAAAGGAAAGGAACCGGCTCTCCCAGCTGATAGTGAAGAGGAGTTAAAACCGCCTCGCGAAGCTGTGATGTCGTCTCGAGGAAAAGAGGCTGCTGAATCATCAAGGAAAGGAAAGGAACCGGCTCTCCCAGTTGATAGTGAAGAGGAGTTTGATAGTGAAGCAACCGAAACTTCAGAAGGGGAAGGTGAGAATGAATCAAGTTCTGAGGAAGTATCTGGCCTTCCCGATTCATTCTTTGATAGAGGACTTGTAAGGCCTTCTGTCGCTCCGACCCAACCACAAGCTGCTCCAAAAAAACGTAAGGAAAGAGTCGTCATGGAATATCCTAACCGGATGACGGTAGAAGTTCTTAGTTGCGACGAAGAGGATGAAGAGGATATGATGCCTCTCATTCGTCGGCAAATATCTCGAACTTCTACTCAAGCTCAAACTCAAGTTTCTCCCCGAGCTGAGTTACGCACCAAACATCGTCATGAAGGTTCTGGTGCACGCCCTCTGAAGAAACAGAAGAAAGCTGTTTCTAAACCGCGTGTTCATCTTCCTGCTGTAGAAGAGACATCCGGTCGTAGTGTTTCTTCTGATGAACAAGGTAGCGATTTGTTTTTATAGCTTTTACACTTTTTTGATGTTCAAACTTATTTCATGTTCAACTTCTGCAGGGAGTCGAGAGGAAGGAGAATTGCCAGCTGATGCTGCTTCTCCCGGAGGTATGGAAATTGAGGAAACAAGCTTCGTCCAACAAATGCATGATGCTCTGAAGGAAGGATCGGCTGATGTTCCACCAACTCCTGACGTTGATCCATCAGCTGCGGACACAGGTACTGATCTTTCTCCTCTCGGAAGAGAAATCCGAGAAATGAATGAGTCGGACCGTGTGCCTCCTCTAATGACCTGTGCGCTTTCTCTCCTTTTAGTCAAATTAAAAGAAGCAGGTACCAGTAGTGGAGCTCTCGAATCAGCCCCGACCAATGAAGGTAAAATCGATCTTTGTCTTGGGCAGATTCGTCTAAATTTACATGTTATTTATGGTTCCTCATGTTCTTTAGACATCCCGATGCACGAGCCTATTGAAGGAGAAGCTACCCATGCCACCAAAGTCGATGATTTTAATAATTTCGACTTTAATATCTCAGAGGACGACCATCAACAAATCCTTGATTCTCTGTTAGAGAAAGCCTCTGATGCAACTATCGGCTCAGATGTTGGAATTGGTTCAACGGAAGCCGGTCCTTCTGAGAGTAAGACTTTGGTTCTGTGAACTCCACATATATATATACGTATATATTTTGACTTGATTAATCATATAAGTGTCTGAATTATAGGACCAACTGCTGGAGCTGATACTACTATAATCACTGGAACGTCTGATCGGCCAGAGGGTAGCGAACTCGTGCCATGGGCAGGAACTGAGGTTGATTTGCAATCATCAGTTCTTGAGCCTCAACCTTCTACTCCTATGGACCCTATGATGATAGAAGTCACTGTCACTCCCCAGATTAGTCCGGTCGCAACAAAAGCGAGACCAACTGAAGGCGTTGGTACGTCGGCTGATGTTATGCCTATTGCTGGTACATTTTACCCATAATTTTGTTTCAAATTTTGGGTTAACATCTCATTATGCTCATTGTAACTCCTTCGTTTGTAGAATCAACTCTTAAAGAGCCTCTTAGCTTGGACCCGCCGTCTTCTGAAGCTTTAATTGAAAAAGCCTCTGATGTAGCGGGTGCATCAACAGCTACCATTCCTGAATCAACCTTGGTTGTTCCGGAAATCAGGTTACCATCCTCGGGTGAACTAAGTCATGCTGAAGGTTCTTCCATCGAACTTGGTATGTCTTAGTTTGTTGTTTTGTATGTATATATATGTCCTGTACTGACCTATTTGCCTTCATCGCAGTTCCTTCATCATCATTATCAGATCGCATCCGAGCTTTGTTAGCAGACGAGGATCCGGATAAAGCCGGCATTTGCTCTGATCTCGACGGCTTCATCTCCTTTTTGAATTCTATGGTTGATCGTATTCTCTCCAAAGGATCGCGATTTGAGAGTTTTAAGAAACCTCTTGACTTGTAATCGGAGAACATTATATTTTTGTTTGTAGCTTTGTTTGAAAATTCTTGGTCAATATAGTGAACCTTTTTGCTCATTATATTGAATCTTTTTGCTCATTGAGGTTTTTTATTATGATTACTCATTCTTATTTAGAATAAATAACCATAATACTTATAGGATTTTTGGCAAATCCTCAGCCATCAACGGATTTGATATACCTTTACCGATTACCGTTTGAATCGGGCTAGTATGTGAATTATCTAAGTCCGTTTCACATATAACGTTGCGCTAAAAGAATTAAACTCTTTTAGACTTTGAACTACACTGTTGAATATGTAGGCTACATGTGTTAGATGTAGGCTTATCTCTAATAAGGGATAGAGATAACATCCCCCATGTGTGAACAACATGGATTTCAAAGTGTGAATAGGTTGCATTTCCTATATAGGACAACGAACCCAAAATCGGAGAGAAAAAGAATTGTATATTCCATTTCTCAATCTCTTGTTTGTTGGTAGAGATAAACCCATACTCGGAGAGGAAGAATTTTATATTCTATCTCCTGGTCTCTTGTTTGTTGGTAGAGATGAACCCAGAATCGGAGAGGAAGAATTTTATATTCTATCTCCTGGTCTCTTGTTTGTTGGTAGAGATAAACCCAGAATCGGAGAGGGAGAATTTTATATTCTATCTCCTGATGAAAAGGAAACTCACAGTGGAATCTCCACTTAGAGAAAATAGGTTGGTTTGAATAACCCTAACTGTCATAAGGTTTGATTACTCAATTCAAAAGTAAACCTTTCGTTCGCAAAAATGAATCGAAAGGAGATTTTGGTTGTGGTCCTAACTGTAGTAAGGTTTGACCAAGTGGGAATTTTGAGACGATCCTAACTGTAGGAAGGTTTGATCGCTCAATTTGTGGACCTCTCGTTCATGGAACGAATCGAGAGGGGATTTTGGCTTTGGTCCTAACTGTTTAAAGGTTTGACCAAGTGAGGAATAGGAGTAGGGTGCAAATAACAATGAGTTTGTTGATTTGCACAAACTAATCGGTGGGAAATTTTGATTTTAAACATAAGAATTTGACACGAAATAATCTGTCGACTGATACATACTGATGATCGTTGATCAATCCGACCGATGGGGGTTTCATAGCGTGAGATTACAAATCATCAAATCTCATCTTCCATGATTATATTACAAGGTTTTGCTGAGGAAAGATTAACTATCATTAAATCTCATCTCAACAAAAGTTGTAAAAGAACAATGAATTATTCAAATGACCAGCTTCTCATTTAAAATAGTGAACTGATCTCGGGTTATCCTGAAATATCCTATATAGGATTCTCTAGGAACTTCCCGCTTTACACAGGTTATCCTGAATATATTACGGATAATATTTTTTCAGGAACTTCCCATTTATTGGCATCATCAATTTGTTGCCATCTTGGGTAACCAGGCGATATGCACCGTTCGAATAGACTGTTTCTATCACAAACGGTCCTTCCCATTTAGGTTCAAATTTGCCTTTCTTCTTAGAAGTGAGAATCATAGGTCTTCGAACGGCGAGAACTAGATCTCCTTCTTTAAAGCTTCGTCGTCGGACCTTTTTATCGAAAGCCCGAGAAATTCTAGCTTGATAAAACTCGATCTGTTGTTGAGCTTCCAAGCGTTTCTCATCCAACATCTCTAACTCCTCGAGACGTTTCTGATGATGTTCTTCCGTCGTCATTCCCGTTACGAGAGCGATACGGAGAGAAGGAATCTGCACTTCCAATGGAAGAACGGCTTCACACCCATACGTTAAAGCATACGGGGTGGCTCCGGTAGGCGTGCGGACGGTCGTACGATAAGCCCAGAGAGCTTCGCCGAGTTTGTCATCCCAATCTCGCTTATTGGTTTTCACCAATTTTGCCAGAATTTTGATGATAGTCTTGTTAAAAGCTTCGGCCAATCCGTTAGCTGTAGGATTATAAGCAGTTGACGAAACGTCTTTAATCCCGAATTTACCGCAGAACTTGATGAATGCGTTGCTCACGAACTGAGGACCGTTGTCGTGCACTATTCGCCTTGGCACACCGTACCGATATATGATATGGTGTTTGATAAATTTGATGACATTGGTCGTCTTTACTTCTCTAAGTGGAACTGCTTCTGCCCATTTCGAGAAATAATCGGTGATTGCCAGAATGAAACGGTCCCCTTTAACCGAAGGTGGAAAAATAGGACCTACTATATCCATTCCCCAAGTTTCAAACGGCCACGATGTCGCCGAAGGATGTAGATATTCAGGGGGTATGTGCATATAATTTGCATGCAATTGACACGCTTCACATTGTCGTGCGTAGTCGACTGCGTCTTTTACCATAGTTGGCCAGTAATACCCGATTCTCCTAAGTCGATCACAGAGCTTAGGACCAGGCTGATGTGCACCGCATATCCCATCATGCGCCTCTTTGAGCGCTTGTTCCGCTTCTTTGTTGGATAGACAACGGAGTAAAAGACCATCATACGATCGCCGATACAACATTTGCGCTGTGGCATTGTAATAAAATCTCGGCGCTCTTCGCCGAATCGATTCTCTTTCTCTTACATCTTCAGGTAATATACCATGTAAGACGTAGTCAATAATAGGAAAATGCCAATCTCGAACTTTGGGTTCAACTCGTGTTGAGTAAGCCTCTTTGGTATTCGAATCGTAGATTGGAACAATAAGCTAGTGAGTCCTCACTGTAATCAATTGCTCTGTTTTGGGAGGTTGAGCCAAGGATACTGACAATGCTGCCAACGCATCTGCGTATGTATTTTGGAGACGCGGAACGTACTCGATGAAAAATTCTTCAAACGAACTTGCCATCTCAATGGCCACCTGGTGGTATGGAATCAGGTCTCGATTTCTGACTTCATACTCTCCTCGTATTTGATTAACTACCAGTTGAGAATCTCCAAAAGCCTCAAGGTATTCGCCCCCCAGCTCTTTGGCGAAATTAAGTCCGATTATTAACGCATTGTATTCAGCCACGTTATTAGAGCATGGTTCGGTCAATGAATATGCTCTAGGCAAGACGTGCTTTTCCGGGGAAACTAAAACGACCCCCACTCCGGAGGAGATTTTAGAACATCCGGGTGCACTTGCCACATTGGTTGATCTGGAAGCCCCATCGAAGTATAACTGCCATACTTGTTGATGTGAGGTGGTATTGACTTCGTGAGTTTCATCTGGCAGATCGTCGTACAATTCGACTACATCTTTCGTAGGGTTTTCCGCCAGAAGATCGCAAATAGCTCGTCCTTTAACTGATTTCTGCTGCTTGAAGTACAAGTCATATTGCGATAGGAGTAAGGCCCACCTGGCCAACCGTCGTACGGGATTTATGTTGGAAATGACATAAATCGTCTGTCCGACTAAATAATGCCGCATTTTCTGAATCGCGAATACTAAAGCGAGGCATTCCTTCTCAATCATTGGATAACGAGATTCAGCTCCTACCAATGTACGACTCAGATAATACACAGCTTGTTCGTGACCGTTATCGTCGTCTTGTGCAAGTAATGCACTTAACGAATGGCTCGTCGCTTTGACATAAATCAAAAACGGTCTGCCCGATTTCGGTGCAACGAGAATAGGTGGATTCGCCAGATATTTCTTAATATCTTCGAATGCCTTTTGGCATGCTTCATCCCAAACGAACGACACGCCTTTCTTCGCGAGTTTAGAGAACGGTTGACATTTTCCAGACAGATTTGATATAAATCGACGGATGTATGCCAATCGACCTTGCAACCCTCTGAGTTCTTTAAGATTTCTCGGGGGTTGTAGCTCGTGTATTGCCTTCACCTTATCAGGATCAATATGAATACCTTTTGTGGTGACGACGAATCCAAGGAATTTACCGCTCGACATTCCAAGGAAGGACTTAGTCGGGTTCATTTTTAGTTGATGAGTTCTCATAAGCTCGAACATCGTCTTCAGATCGTTAATGTGATCGTTTTTATCACGACTTTTAACAACCAGATCATCAACGTAGCATTCGACAGTCTTCCGGAGGTGCTCTTGAAAGATCTTCGTCATTGCTTCCATAATTTGCGGACGAAACCGTCTTTGTTGTTGCTTGACAGGTTTAGCATCCGATTTTATGTTAAGGGTATGCATTGCTACATTTGGGTCGAGTCCTGGCATATCTTCGTAGTTCCATGCGAAAACGTCGATATACTCTTTAACGAGGGCAATTAATTCCTCTTTTTCGTCTGGCGGGAGATCACCGCTGATAAATATAGGCTTCGGATTATTTTCGTCACCCATATTAACTTGAACCACTTTATCCTCGGTAGGAGGTTCTCTTTGCTCAAATCGATCACCGTATTGGATATTCATGTAATGCATCCATGGATCTTCCCAAACAGGTAACTGATCGTCTTCTTCTGTTGTGGAAGGGTCAACCGTCGCCATGTTCGACATTAGGGATTTGAATCTTTCACCAATGCTCACGTCAGAATCCCAATTTGAAGTGTCGGATGAATGTCCGCTCCTATCTATTAATTGGTTAATGATTTGTTGGCCATAATCGTCTTCGGATGAATCATAACCCAGACCTCTATTACGACTGTAGTAATTATCTGGTTTTCCTTTTGGTACATAGGTAGAACGGGGTGGAACCCTAATACCTTGACCAAAATAAAGGCCTTCACCAAGTGAAAGGTCATAGCCTCGACTCATCATATAATCATTCGCTTGAGAACTATACCGAGAGAAGTGTCGCCCGGGTTTTTCTTCATCCGAATTACTATCTAAGAAATGATCTGGAGTGGGGGATGATTCCCCTTTTCCAAAGATTATCTCTTTTTCACCCCCTGCCTTTGCGGGTAGGATCATAGTTGTTCCAGATGAGCTTTGGAGGTGTTTCGTCGCCGTACAAGACGAACGAAGTGGCATATGTATACTAGAGTCGTCGTACAATTTCTGCATTACATCATCAAGACAATGCGAGTACTCTAAATCATGATTTATTATTTCATCGGCA